GCGAGCAGCCATTACTAAGAGACATTACAAAAACAAAAATAAAAAATAAGAGGATAATGATATCATTTTTGTTATGCGTGAACTACGAAAATTGAACCCGCGCTTGGTGGATTCACAATCCACTGCATTTTTGCCTTAGTGTAACTTGGAAAAATAAGCAAGGATTTATCATTAAAAATGAGCTTAAACTATAACTTTGGGCTATATGATGAAAATATAATGGTTGGATTTCAACATTATTGCTCCTTTTTCTGATATTGGTATGGCTTTAGAACCTTGACTTCGACTCATTATTCGATAAAGGAAAAGGGAAATTTTAAGATTTTGGAGAGGTAACCTTTGCTTGGAATTTTGGGATGGCTTCAAGGACGGAGGTTCTTCTTCTAGAATCAAAATGTTTGATAGTAAAAATAATGATTTGACCAGTGGCAGATGCAAACATTTGGAGTTAGTGGAACACAATTTAACTTATTAAAAAGTTATGTATACTAAATGAACACATTCGGTGATCATTGTCATAGATTCACAAATATCATATATATGATAAATAACAATTCTTAAAGAATTCCAAATAATCTCACATATATGATGAATAAAAATTTCCAAAGAATTTTCAAAAATATCACAAGACACAAATGATAAAAATAATCTCAACTTTCACTCTCTCAATTGTTCGGTCATCGCTATAACTCTGTTCTAATAAAAAAGCCCAACTACCGTTACTGTCCAAATCTGATTTTTGGCAAAAAAAAAAAACAGGTTTGTGGGTCACTTGACTGACCAGGACCATGAGTAGGTCCGCCAATGGACGTGACACTATTTAATCAACTTAAAAAGATTTAGTTGTAAACATCGTATTTTTACTATATCGAAATCGAACATAATACAATGAAGAACAAATCAATTAACATCTAAACTCTTGAAATTCATGAGATAAATGACTGCTTTATAGGCAAAATTTTGTCACCGCTTAATCACTTCAAACTACAATATTCTATCTTAGAGTGTGAATTTTAGGATGCTCGATGATGACCTAAGATCTCTGACCTTAGACTATACACTATGCCCCGTTTGACCCCCATTTTGTAGAAATGAAAATGAGTGAAATAGTGTTTTTTTGAAAAATGAGTGATTGAAAAAGAAGAAAAAGTTTTCGATTTACGTATAATATTATTTTATAGAAAATTGTACGGTTGAAAATAAGAAAAAATAAAATATAATGTAATGAAAATTAATGGGGACCAAGCAGAGCTATGATTGATCCTCACGATAGTGATGCAAGTGAGAAAAAAAGTAGCCTTCAAAGTAATCATTACATCTCCCAAAGTTATAAGTTGCAATCGATTGGTACAATTAACCTAAGATTTATCATTCTTTTTATGAGCCATATCTTAATCAGTATAGCCCTTGTTTGAGTTTCATTTTTTTTTTCGAATAATTCATTTTGAAGTAGTGATTTTTTAAAGAATGTATGATTAAGAAATAGGAAAAAAATCTGAATTTACGTATAGAATTATTTTATAAAAGAATTTATTGTTGAAAATGAGTTTTGAGAAATATGAGGCTCAAACAAGAGCATAGTATATATATATATATTCCTTGTAGAAGTTTTTGTTTGTGCCTTTATTGTGTGTGTTCAAATGTGCAGGTAAAAGAAACGTTAAGGAAAGAGGAGTTGCGATTTATTCATGAGTGGGTCCATCCAAATTCGAATATCAACATGTATCATTTAGAGTGTGTTTGATTGATATAAAAAAATATTATTTAGAAAAGAAAATGTTTTCCTTGTTTTGAAAAAAAACAAAAACATATTCTCCCAAAGAAAATATTTTTCTTAAAAATAATGAAAAATTAAACATATTCTCAAAAGTTGAAAATATCTTTAATGGAAAAAAATAGCAATCAAATACTTAAAGTAAGAATTTGAGTGAAAAATTGATATTTTCTATGAAAAATAAATGCAATCAAACACATTACTTCAAATATTAAATGGAAAGTGGAAAGTGGAAAGTTTGACGTATTTTTATTGAGAATTTATGAACCTCTGTATTTACATGTGTCACCTAACAAGTTGAAAGAAGTAATAAATGTAAATTGAAGAAAATGGATATGACCCCTACCCAAACTCTATCGTGATCATCAATGAAAATAACTAGGTAAATTCTTAATATGAAAAGACAAATACGAGTCTTTTAATTCTCGTCTTTTTACATAGAAACGAAAATAGAGGAGATTGGATTATAAGAATATGAGATTTAAGGTTTCAAATTCGACCTGTTTAAACAATAATTGCTTATTCACATACCAATGCCGATGGCACAACAAAGATAGCTTGTAATAGATACCAGTACGCATTCATTCTTAACATTATTGAAGTTGCAAATTTTCCGAAGTTAGAATGAATGAAGAATTCATATTTAGCTACAAAAGAACGTCAAGCCTTCTTTTTCAACTGACTTATAAATGATTTATGTATTCAATCAAAATCAAATATTTATTTTGACTACACATTCATAATTAGGACTTTTTTAATTCATGCATTTTGTAAGACATATTACTATTCATCTTTATAAATTTGCCAAAGAGAGGCTACTATAAAAAATTAAATTTAATTGATTTTTTTATTTATTGATCAATCTTGTTTATTAGTAAATAGTAATTGAGATTTTTTTTTGTTTTTTGTTTTTACAATATTAGAAGAGTGAAATGAAGTATATTCTAATTTTTTCAATTTTTATTAACTTTACTAAAATTAAATTTTTATTGATTTGTTGTTACAGTTTTGGGAAAAATAATAAATAGTACAAATCTTATAGAAAAACTTATATAAAGAAATAAAAAAAAAATGCATGATTAGAAAATAGTATGCAAAAATTTGGAGGATGTAATTTATTATTTCAGATGAGGGCATTTTTGTCTATTCAACTGTTTAGAATGGGATAGTTATAATTTTTAAGGGCATTTTTTTTGTCTATTCAACTATTTATAATGAGATATTTATAATTTTTTTTTTGTAGTATAATTATCCTATTAGAGTGCATTTTGTCAATTTTCAATTTTAAAATTAATTTTAACGGTCAAAATTGAAAATAATTATGTCTCTACGTGGCTTAAAATTCTAACAAAAAATTTAAATTTAAATCAACAATTAATTTTAACCACATATTTTATATGACTCACAACTTTTTAACTATATATTTCGTTTTTTTTAAATCTACTTAAAATTTAATTTTTAGCAAAACCATACCAGGGTGTGTGTGTGTGTGTGTGTAATTAATTTAGTAATACATAACGAAGTGTACCTAAGGGTGTACACTCTCCTCACATGAGGTGTGGGGTCCACCCGACCTGTGTATCACTAGCACCACCGATATATATATATATATATATATATAAAATGTAACATAATCCAATTTTAAATTATGTTAAAAATCCAAAACGTCATAAGAAATTTTAGTGATTTTAGAGTTTTGACACTTATTCGGGTGGACCCCACACCCTATGTGAGGGAGGTGTACAACCTTAGGTACACCCCTATATACTATTAGCACCACCGATGTATATATACCTATAAAAAAAATGTAACATAATCCAATTTTAAATGAGGAAATTTCATTGGATGTTAAAATTTGGCTATGCATTATCAAAAATGTCACCTTTCAAATTTTCTATCAAAAATGCCAATTTAGGACATTTTTTGAATACCTTATATATACTTGTACAAAACCTTTGTATTGTGTCAGAATGAAATGACAATATGTCGGAATGAAATGACAGCATATCTTTTAAATCGCTTACCATTGAACTGTCATTCCCAACAGTTAGTATCAGTAATTCTCGACAGATGGACTCATCAACAGATCAAATGAAGTTTTCGACAGATGAACTATCAGGAACGACAATTGCTTCCTTTACCTAAGCTCAGTTCCACAATTTGAACTTTGGAACTGACATTGCACGTGTGTTTCGCATTAACATGTATGAAATGCTATGATCTCATAATTTGTTAATTGATTCGTAGTTGTTTATGCTTGATTGATTGATTCATTTTCTGTGTTCCAGTTTCAGTGGTTTGTTTCGTATTTTTTGTTCATTGTGCTTGATTGATGAATTCCTTTTCGCCTTGAAATGTCATTTTGGCTGCCCACATGAAGTGGTCAGAGATCCATGTGCACGAGGACGATTATGACAAATTGCGTTCATCAATTGACTTCCATGATAACTTTGATCAGATTGATGTTATTATTACTTATTTATCTATAATGTATGACTGCTTTTCACGTTATTGGGGTCACAAGAGAAACAATGAATTTATATGAGATACGCGATGGTTGATCATCGTTCGACGTTGTTGGATGAAGTCAGAATATTTGTTAATGTGTAGTCTTATATCTTTATAGTTCTATGTTCGACAATTTAATCACCGACATGTACTTCAACTTGGGTTTGGTAAGGCTGCTACCACTGTGTAGTATGATTCAAATGCAGATGAAAGCCGGTTTGGTAATGTTGCTACCACTTAACATTTGCATAAATCTTTTTGGTATTTTTTTCCCTTCAAAAATGAGGAACATCATGATTAATAGTAGATCATCTTGTTTTTATCATTTAAAAAAGAGTAAACTATTCGATAAAAATAAAAAATAAATCGTAATAACTAACCTCTCAAAATGGATGATGAATCTATATATATATGCAATGATTATAATATATAAATTTAACTAATCAAATCATAACATTAATTGAATTGGAACATAGCATTAAATGCTCCTAAAAGGGGACGTGAAGGGTAAGTTGGACATTTTCCACAAAAAAAGTGACATTTTTTATAAAATTAGGTGCACATGCAAATTTTTTTATGCATTTTCAAAAAAAGTGACATTTTTTATAATTCCCCATTTTAAATTATGTTAAAAATCCAAAACATCATAAGTAATTTTAGTGATGTTAGAGTTTGTCCAAACACTCTTAATTAGTAATTATTAGTTCAATCTGTTCAGTTTGCCAGCTGAACAGAGTACGATACTAATGGGAAAGCCACACACAAAGTTTTCTTTTCTTAGCCAAAGTAATCAATGTCTCTAGAACCCACCAAAATTCCAAAATCCCAAGAAAAATCATTCAATGATTTGTTACTGAAGCTAATCAAATATCGAAAATCCTCAAATGGAACCATTTCAATCTCTTCTTCTACTTCTGATTCTACTGATTCCAGCTGTTTTTTCAACCGTTGGGTCCTCTTCAGATTACAACGATTTGGTTTACAAAGGCTGTGCGAATCAAGATTTCCAGGATTTCGATGGGATTTACAAGCAAACGCTTAAAAATCTCTTCGACACATTAATCTCCCAATCTTCCACAACAAAATTTTACAAAGCCACATCCGGAGACGGCCAATCCGCCATTAATGGGCTCTCTCAATGCAGAGGCGATCTCTCAAATTCCGACTGTGTCAACTGCGTGAAAAAAGCCTCAGAAATGTCCGAAAAGCTTTGCGGTCATGCCATTGCTGTTAGAGTACAACTAAACGGATGTTATTTGAGATATGAAATTGCTGGGTTTAGGCAAGGGAGTGTGACTGAGTTGCTGTACAAGGTTTGTGGTTCAACTCAGGCAAGTGGCGCCGGGTTTGATGACAGGTTGAACTCGGCTTTAGATGAAATAACAAAGAGTGTGGGGAGTGGAAATAGTGGGTTTTATACAGGTGAGTATGAGTCAGTGTACGTGCTGGGGCAATGTGAAGGTGATTTAAGCAGTGGGGACTGTGTGAACTGTGTGAAAAATGCCATTGATAGAGCTAAATCTGAATGTGGAACTTCAATTTCTGCCCAAATTTATCTTCAAGAATGCTATATTAGCTACACTTATTATCCCAGTGGAGTTCCTACCAATACCAGCCCATCATTTTTGTCAGGTAAAATATGCACTTCATTATTAATTAATCATCGCGTCTAAAAGCTTAGGTTCATTTCAATTTTCTCGAATGTGTGACAAATGTACAATTTTCATATACTTGTAACATAAGATAGCTTGGTCTACAATGGAAAGGGGGAATCGCCCTTTCACAGCCGCTCCTCTACAAGTACCTTTTGCCGAACATGATCGTGAACATAGACAGAATAGTGTAGAATCTGTAGATAGTAGGACGTAACTAACCAACCTATTTGTCCTGATCAGAACGATTAGCTTTCCTTGGTTAATAATCTTATTTAAAATTTAAGCGTCCAAAAGGGCTACATCTACTTATGTAACAAACAAAGTTTTCTTCTTGGTAATTTTGGAGTCTTTAATATAAATCTTTTTCCGTTATCCCTTTTAGTTCATTGATAGATTTATCCAATACATGAATTTGTCTATTTCTTATTTTCAAACTGTTAAAGAAATCCCGAATAAAAAAAAGAAAAAAATTGTTTCAGTTTTAATTTATGTGAGTGTAATGTGATTGGTGTAGGGAGTGTAGGGACAAGGAAGAATACACAGAAGACAGTGGCTATTATTCTTGGAGGAGCCGCGGGGATAGGCCTGGGAATTGCTTGTTTGCTGTTTACTAAATCAACTTTCTGGAAAAAGACTAATCCTTACAAGTATGGCGGATGAGGTTAGTGTCATTTTTGCAACAATTTTCGGTATTTAGTTTGTGGATGAAAAAATACCAAATGTCGTAATTGAGTATTTCATAATTCTGTTAATTGGATCACTAAATTCAAAATTTTTTCTTCCATCGAGCCACTGCATCTAGTTTGTTAGATTGACAAACTGAGACACTTCTTTGAGTGAAATAAAATGTTGGGTTGACAAACTGAGACATCTATATTTTGGTACTTCGTGAATTAATGATCGCATTCTCATGCGTTTATGGGCTGATTGAGTGAAATCTCTCAAGAATAATTCTTGGTGCACATTATGGACACCATAATGGTGTCCATAATGCACACGTGGCGCCCCCTATTGGAGGGGTGCCTGGCCCACCCGGCGCCCCTCTAATAGGGGGTTAGGGGGGCGCCATGTGTGCATTATGGACACTAGCACAACTCATCTCTCAATGACATCGGTGGGAGAACCGAGTAACTTGATTAAATTTGATGATTTCCATTGATGAATCTTTTGGGCAATCTTTAAGAATATAATTATTGCTTTTTGGAACCAAAAAAATTGCAGATTTACACTGTGGATTGTAAAGAGGAGAAGATCTGGTTTCTACTTTGTTAGGACTCCAGTCCAGCAGGTCTCTTCCTCCCTAAATTTTGTAAAGACCTGTCTATTTCATAGAATCGTGTTAGGTTTTAGTATATGCGTGTTGCTTTATGAATTTAGTGTGTAACTGCTTTTTATTATAAAGTAGATGACTTCTTTTTACACTATGAAAAGCAAATTATTTTTGTCTCTAAATAATTGATAATTTGTTCACGTTGTCATTTAATGATTGACGCATTGGTTTCTTGGAGACTCACCAAAGTATGAAAGTTGGGATCTTTCAAAAAATTGATTCCTATTTGAAGAGTGCATAGTTGCATGGATAAGTTTATTCTAACCCAAGCGTCAATCTCACTTATGAGTGACCTATTTTGAAATGTTAAGTATGGATAAGCTCATCAACTGAGTTAGTCAAAAAGTTGAATGATCTGTTTAAATTTTCATTGCAACTTGAGTGATATGTGAAATTAACTCCACATTAAACACTTCTTTAATTCAATTAAACACTTGATGCATAGAAACTGTCTTTTAAAAGGTATATTTGACAATGATTATTTTAATTTTGTCATTGCAATATGATTATTTTGCAAAATCAAAATGTCTTGCACAATATAAAGGGAAGTTGGCATAAATGGTCCCAAGATTTTGCCCATCTGGCGTTTTAGGTAAATGATCACAAATCTTTGCATTCAAGTCATAATTGGTCCTTTCGTATGTGTTAGGTCAGAAAGTGTGATTGACAATTCTGTAGACAAAACGGGAGTAATTGTATGTTTGTAAAAGTCAGGGACTCAATTGAATATTCTTGTAAAAGTCAAGGGCTTAGGGTGCAATTTTGTATAGATGAGGTAAATTAGTGTTCGAGTCGTTGAAGGTGTCCAAGATGTCCAAGAAGACCACATAAGATCATTGGAATGCAATTGGACGTTTAAAAGATATCAAAGAGCCGGACAAATTATGTTTTAGATTTTCAGTCGTACTTTGCAACGCATTTTTCTCATAGAAAATGTTGGAATTTGGATAAGGATATTTCTAGAAGAATTGTAGCCCCTTGAGTTAACATTTCAACACAAGTTGAATCACCTCAATTGGATATCGAGGGAGAAAGTTATGATGAAATTATTGATGACTGCTCACTGTCGCTCAATTTTTGCTGGCATTTCACTCGAGTAAAAAAAACAGAACACCTCTCGCTGGCATCTTGCTCGAGCAACATTCCTATGCGGCAAAACCCTTAGTTGGCATTTTTGAAGTGTTTTATTAGGTCTATACCACCTAAACACCTTCAAATATATATACCCAAGCCCTAGCACGAATTTTGAGATGTTACTACATTATTCTTTCATTGCCAAACATATTCATAACATCTTTGAAGAGATTCAAGGTGCAATTAATTGGTGATTCCATTTACATCAATCTTGTGATTCGGCAACCATCATTTTGGGGAAAACATCGAATTTACATTACTCAAAACACCATTCTTCCTTAATCTTTTGAGGAAGGGACTCTCTCATTGGGGATTGAGAGAGGTGGATGTCAAGCGCGGTGAATTGGACAAGAACATGTAGTTCTTGGAATTCCACTTGGTGATACAATCAGCTAAGGACTAGGAGATTGTAGTGGACAACAGATTGGGCTGCAAGACATAGATCAGAAAGTCTAGCAAGAGGCTAGAGGTATCTACGGTAGTAGATTGTGAGACTAGAATAGCGGGTCTGATTGGGTACGAAGTTTGGTAACTTGTACTTGCTGAATTGGTATAGTGGATATCACTGACTTGGTCCTGAAGTTTTACCCACGTTGGGGTTTCTCCGTTACCATATTGTGAGTTGTGTTTATTGTTTACTTTACATTACGCAAATTGGCAATTCAACCTTAGGAATTAATTGGATAGTATGTTTAACCATCTAGACATTAATTAAAGTGACTTGTTTCTTTAATTAATTAATTTCGCACGTAAAGTCAAACAAATTTTAACTTGGAACATAAACTTGGTAACGCATAAATTTGAATTTGACACTGTATCGCGTTAGGCAAATTTTCTAGCTTATCTAAGCGTTCTAGGTGATTTTTCAAGTGGTATCAGAGCTTAAAATCATGTCCTGGCCTTAAATAGTCTAGATGAGTACCTCGTTGAATGTGTCGTCCCACTTTGATGGTAGTAACTATGCGTATTGGAAGGTTAGAATGAGGGCATTTTCGAAATCACGAATGAGCGTGTCTGGCAGAGCGTAGTGAATGGTTGGTGTTCGCGAAATATTTCTTTCGATTTAAATTACCGCAAGTGTACGGGTCGTGACAAGTAATAAAGTGGACTTTAGAAGTCCAAGTATCGTCCCACAGAGAAAGAGTAGTTCAATTTTATTTATTTTAGCTTTAACCGAAACTAATTGAATTGAGATGAATTTTGGAATCAAAAGCTCTAATTTTGGGAGAAATCCCCAAATTGAAAAACCCTAATTTAAAATCAAACCCTAATTACTTAAATTTACTTAACGAATGACTCAATTACGAAATGTTATAAAAAATAAATTAAATGTATTGTCAATTTATGAAAATCTATGTAAAACAAATGCACTAGGATCACAAATCTCCAAATAATTACTAATTAAACCCTAATTTCACAATTTTGATAATCCAATAAGAATTTGACAAATTAATGCTCCTAAATCTATTCAATACTCTCTCTCGAGATGTATTGAACCTATTCTCATAAATCACCAGCCTATATTTCTATGACGAATGCAATTATACAAGAACGCATGTAATCTTTTTGTGAGCAATTAAAGATTTACATAGGGCATAGGGGTATATTTCTATCCCCTATCGGACCCTATGATGAATTATATATGTCGAGTTTAATCTAATTTTCTCAAATTCAGAATTAAACCACCAAGTTCACACAAATTAAGTGCACATTAATTGTGGAAATAAATAAAGCAATATAATCCATTCAAATAGCCCATCGAACTAATAATTCAAAATCATGAAATAGCAAGTTTAATAATAATTACATGGTTCATCGATCACCTAGTTGCAGAAATCTAGCCTATCATGATAAAAATAATGAAATCTAACAAAGTATGAATAAAGTACATCACCGGGTTATCAAAACTTGAAGAAATCTTGTAAATCTCGCATCAATTCTTGTTCTTGCCTTCAAATCCACTCCAAGATGAATGTTTTTGCCTCCCAAGTCGTTCGTGCGGCTTCTGGATGTTTATTTGCTATTTAAACCCGTCCAAATTAGGTTACCAAAGGAGTTGCAATCATATAAGGAAACTGCAAAAATCGGGAAAAATTATACCTATGCGACCGCATAGGCATAACCTATGCGATCGCATAGGCATAAGAAAAATGGCGTTTTTAATCCTTGGAGGATCATTCGCGACCGCATAGTAGAGTTAACTTCTAATTTGAGTCATTTTGATCCTCAAGTTTCATTCCTTCACTCCTTGACCTCCTCTCTTGTTTCTAGTTGCTCCAATGTTCCATTATAACTTCCAATTGGTGTTTGGCTTGATCAATTGCTTGATGTGTTCATCGGGTCAACTTTCAGATAATTGCAATTTGGTCCCTGAATTTTCATTTTGCTCGAATTTGGTCCTTTTTATGCTCTTTTCTCCTGAATTCCACTATTTCCATAGAATTACCTACATTGCATGAATTTGACAAAGTTAAGTAACAATTCAATCATTTTACTTGTATTTAAGTCATGTTTGTGATGTAAATAAGTGTGTAAAAACACACTTATCAGTTGGTCTACCCCTAGTACCATAGTAGATGGTGTAGTCACTCCCACCTCGTAGAAAAGTAGTCTAGAGCACAATTGGATAACTGTAACTTTAATAGCAAGGCCATACATGCATTGTTTATGGCTGTGTCCTCCGAGGACTTTAGGATAGTATCTATGTGAGGTAGCTAAGGATGTTCGGGATATTTTACAAACCTCACATGAGGGAACCTAGGCCGTTAAATATTCTAAGTTACAGATGCTGACCAATAGGTTTGAGAAAATCAGGATGAGGGATGATGAGACATTTGATGACTTTTATGGGAGCTTAAATGACATAGTGAATTCCTCCTTCAACCTAGGTGAGAAAATTCTTGAGCCCAAGATAGATAGAAAAATTCTTAGATCCTTAGCCGAGCGTTTCATGTCGAAAGTCACAGCTATTGAGGAAAGTAAGGACATAGACACTATCAGGGTAGAGAAGTTAGTCGGATCCCTACAGACCCATGAATTGACCTTAGACAATTCTGTTAAGGAAAAATCCATAGCCTTGAAATTCGCTAGGAATAACCGGATGGAATCTTCTGATTTAGATTCACCTAATGATGAGGAGAGGGACTACATACCTAAGAAATTCCGAAAAATGTTTAGGAATAAGAAGAAGCTTCAAGAGAGGCAAAAAGGTGGCCCGAGTGAATCTAGGAGAAAATCTAAATCCGTGAGATGCCATAACTGTTGGGGTTTCGGTTACGTGAGGAGTGAGTGCCCGAATGCTAAAAGAGTTGAAGAGAAGGCAATGAACACTACTCTCACTGATGACAAGTCTAACTCGGACAATCAAAATGAGGAATCCACACATGAGGAGAGTGGAAAATATGTGGCCTTTGTTGCTAAGGTTAAGAATGGATCCAAACGGGGGAGTGAAAGGGATGATGACCTAAATAGTAGTGAAGAATCTGGTGATGAGGGTGGAAGTGAGGAAGATCTAGAAGAAGCTTATGAGAAGATGTATGAAGAAAGCCTCAAGATCATAGCTACTAACTAGGTGCTGAATAAGAAAGTGAAGGAACTTAGATTAGAGAAAGAACGGTTAGAGGCCGAGATAGTGATCTCACCAATAAGAATGAGATGTCCTCTAGGAGAGTAAGTGAGCTGATCATTGAGAATGAGACCTTAGCTATTTAGGTTAAGCACCTTAGGAATGAGCTAGAGTTGTCTAGGTCTCAGATACTTGCCTTTTTTAGCAGTTCTGAAAAGCTAGAAAATATTCTAGGAATAGGCAAGTCGACTGGTGATAAGGGAGGTCTAGGTTTTGATAGTAATGCTGCTAGTACTTCACAGACCACTTTTGTTTGTGCTACTGACCAACCTAACATTGTGACTAACTCCATATCTAATGTTGTAGGATCTTTTGAACGTAGGTCTACCAGACGTCGTAGGACCCGTCGACCTAGGAATAGAAATCAGTGTCCACATAACACAGATCTTAGGTTTATCCCAACATGTTTTCAGTGTAGAGAGTTAGGTTACATCTGTCCTAGATGTCATCATTACCTGAACAATAGGAAATGCTTGAGCTTGTAAAAGGACAAAAATCAAGTGTATATTGGTCAGATTGGATTCCTTGCTAATCAAGTGAATCGTTTGATCCAATTGGTGACTTAGCTGTCTCGAAAAAATCCCCGTTCTAGACAGGTTTGGGTGAAGAAGAGCAATCTCCCAAATTTAGTAGTTGATCGCGGTGCTTTTAAAGGAAAGAACACTTATACACCTATTTGATTAGGTATTTTTTATGTATGCTTGCTCTTAATTTTTGTATAATTATTGTATGTATCACGTGTATTTTGGTTGTTTTACTTTTATTTTTATTGTTATTTTATTTTATTATTATTATTATTTTTACATGTGCATTTTCATTTGTTTGCTTTGGCGTATGCATATTTAATTTTATCTTTGTGTGCTTGACTTTATTTTCTTTTGTATGTGGAGCATTCATTTTAGTAAAAATGAAAAAAAAATAATAAAAATTGAAAATTTGAAAAAGACAAAAATAATTGGTTATAGAAATTGCTACTGCATGACACATATTTCTTGAACTTGTTGGTTGTGATCATATATGAGCTAAAATTGATAAGCTGTATAATAATTTTCATTATTTGTTTAGGTCTTTTTGGATTATTTAGTATATGTGTCGTCATGTACCATCTGCACTGCACATACTATAAATTTGTTAGTGGGACTCTACCGCGTGTGTGAGATTTAGGATGGCTGTTACATGTTGATAGGGTGACTTTGAATATGAATTTACCAATATTTAATAGACCTAAACCAAATTATCCCTCCGTATTAAAGCTCAATATCTTAATGTTCTTTTTCGGGGCTTATTTGACTCGAACAATTAAGCATATGGGCTCTCTTAAAATCCGGTGCCTATGGTCAATTGACTTGGATTAATCAGCCTAAAACTTGCTGCAGGGGTCATCTTAGTTGCCTAATGGAGAAGAACTTGCATTTACGATGAAAAATTAATGAGCTGGAAAAATGAAAAAATGTGAAAAATATGAAGAGTTGGAATAATATGAAAATCTGAAAAATATAAAAGCTCATAGTAAGGGAAATAAGTAAAAATAATAAGTATAGGTCTTACTACACATTACATGGTTTAACTTTCATTAGTAGGAGAATATAATTACTGGCAGTGATTGGCATGTCCCTTCTTACAAAATTAAGGTTTGGAGTCCTGCTTACATTTGAATAGTGACACTTTAGGCACACGAGTCACTTGTACTTTTTACTCCATTTTAGTCTAAACTAAGTATGTGGGAAGGTTTACTACTTGTTAATTTTACTTTTGCATATTATCAACTACATTTTTGAGTTATTATGTATTATTTGCTCAGCTTGTTCTTAATATGATTCCCTTCAACATTTATGACAAAAAGGGTGGGAGAAAAGTGTAACTAAGGGGGAGAAAAAAGAGCATACGAATTGGGGTCGATGGGGGAGAGACATAGATGCATTGTATTTTGCATTCCATATTATATCCATTGTTGTTTGAATTTTGATGTTTAGTGGTGTTGGTGTTTTGATTGACATCAATATCACGTCTCAGACTAGTATGTTGATGTGTTTGTGATTAAGTACTTTAATGTTTATATTTCGTGTGTCACGTGCTTTTACACTGGGTATATGAGCTTGTAGATTTCAGGAAACAAGTACAAGGAATACAAGATTCAGTGATTGGGTTTACTGGGTAGAATAAATTGTGTCCAGAGTCCTGACTTATAGTTGTATGGTCCTGACTCATTGTGTATGGTTTTGTCACAGAATGCCAAATGGGGAGTTTGTTAGGTCTGAAAGTGTGATTGGGAATTCTGTAAACAAAACGGACGTAATTATATGTTTGTAAGAGTTATGGCCTCAATTGAACATTCTTGTGAAAGTCAAGGGGTTAGGGTGCAATTTTGTATAGATGAGGTAAATTAGTGTTCGAATCGTTGAAAGAGTCCAAGATGTCCAAGAAGATCACATAAGATCATTAGACTGCAATTGGAAGTTTAAAGGATATCAAAGAGCTGCACAAATTATGTTTCGAATTTTTAGTCATCACTTGCAACACATTTATTTCATAGAAAATGTTGGAATTTGGACAAGACTATTTCTAAAAGAATTGTAGCCCTTTTGAGTTAGCTTTCCAACGCAAGTTGAATCACGTCAATTGGATATCGAGAGAGAAAGTTATAATGAAAATATTGACAAGTGCTCACTATCATTCGATTCTCGCTGGCTTTCGCTCGAGCGAAAAAAATAGAATACCTCTCGCTCGATTCTCCCTGGCATCTCGCTCGAGTGACATTCCTATGCAGCACAACCCCTAGTTCGCATTTTTGAAGTTTTTTACTCGGCCCATGCCACCTAAACACCTTCAAATATATATACTTAAGCCCTAGCACGAATTTTGAGAGGTTGTTACATTATTCTTTCATTACCAAACATATTCATAACATCTTTGAAGAGGTCCAAGGTGCAATTAATTGGTGATTCCATTTACATCAATCTTGTGATCCGATAACCATTATTTTGGGGAAAACATCGAATTTACATAACCTAAAACATCATTCTTCCTTAATCTTTTGAGGAAGGGACTCTTTCATTGGGGATTGAGAGAGGTGGATGTCAAACGCAGTGAATCGGACAAGAACAGGCGGTTCTTGGAATTTCACTTGGTGATACAATCAGCTAAGGATCAGGAGGCTATAGTGAACAGCAAATTGGGCTACAGGAGGTAGATCTGGAAGTCTAGTAGGAGGCTAGAGGTATCTATGGTAGTAGCTTGTGAGACTGAAATAGCGGGTCTGATTGCGTACAAAGTTTGGTAACTTGTATTTGTTGAATTAGTATAGTGGACATAACTAGTTTGGGCCCGGAGTTTTATCCACATTGGGATTTCTCTGTTATCATATTATGAGTTGTTGTGTTTATTGTTTACTCTACATTACGCCAATCGGCAATTCAACCTTAGGAATTAATTGAATTTTATGCTTAATCATCTAGATATTAATTAAAGTGACTTGTTGCTTTAATTAATTAATTCCGCACGTAAGGTCAAACAAATTGTTAACTTGGAACGTAAACTTGGTAACGCATAAATTTGAATTTAACACTATATCGCGTTAGTTGACTTTTCGGTATGAATTTTGTTGGAAAGGGCTGTTAGTTGAAGGCGTGAAAAGCATTTTCTTTTAAAAATAAATTGCACATGTAGCCCCAACACTCGATGATCAGGGACAAAAATTTGACAATTCTTTTGGACAGAATTCATCAAAAAGAACTAATTGTGTCAAGAATGCAAAGGTTGGAGATCATTTTCACCAAGATTTAAAGGTTTGGACAAGGGGTTGAAAAGCGGAGCAATTCGTTCACCAGCTCAGCTCGTGCCTAGACGAGCTGTGAGCATGATAGAGCAGTGAGCTGCTGGTCAACTCGCATGAGCTGCCTCTAGAGACGACGAGCTAGCTTGTGACGAGCCCTCGAGCAACTTGCTCATTTTCTTGCAATCCGAGATCATTCTCTACTCGCCCCATGCATGCAGAACATAAATTAATGGCAGATGCCATTTTGATTTGAAATGGCAGTTCCCATTTCTTTTTTCAATGGCGATGGCTGAGGCCATGTGCAGTAATGCCATTTTCAGCATACTGTCATTGAGTAACAAAATTTTGTTACACCTCTTCTAAAGGTTTCAAGTCACGATCACATGGCAGTCAGGTAACAAATTCAATCAGGCTCTCACTTCATGTTATCATCCTACGTGTCTGAACTGAGGTCATATATAAGGTAGCTAAAGTGATGTATCAACCAGTGGCGGAACGGGAATAGGGCCTTGTGGGTCATGTGATCTATCAATTTTTTTGACTTCTTAGGAGGTTTTCTTTCTTTTTTTTTTTTTTCGTGTAAAATAATCCCCTTCTCTTTTTCCCACAATTCCCAAACTGAAAATTTTCCTCCCTCTGCTACTGTGTCTGCCTCCGTCATTGGTTTGACCTCTGCTCTCAGGTCTCCCTCAATCCCTGTCCTATGTACGCCGGGTTGACAAGGGAGGCCACGATGTGAGTGGGGCCCACGACGAGTAAAAAATCGTGGGCATCGGTACACCGTCAACCCTAATGTACTAGTAGACAAACCCTATGGAGAATTGTTGATTCCTGACACTCAAACAGGAATCATGAAATTTTTTTTGCTTTTTATATTGATAAGAAACATCGTCCATTGTCCGTCCCCGCTTGGACTCCGTACGTTCCACCTCACTCTCATTTCAGACCCGGTCAGTTTTCTCTCTCTTTCTTCATTTTTCTCTCTCTACAGTTTATACACATAGAGTCACAGAAACGGAACCCTCAGAGACAATTTATTCCTAATTTTTAAGAATTGAAATGGATTTTCCAATAATATATGTTTGATTTAAATCAGGGAGGAGGACTTTTTTATTTTTGTTTTGATTTATGAATTAGTGGAAATTTAGTAACCTGGATGTGAAATTGTGAATTATGTTGTGTTCTATACCATTTACATAGTTTATTGTGAATATGAACTTTTCAAGTTTAGTGTATGCATCTCAGTTTTGACTACATGCCTACCATTAGCTGTAAATCCCGTTCAAGTGTCATTGCCTAAATTAACCCTAAATTTGTGTGTGTATTATGCTGATTGCTTGCTTTTGATTATTTTGATTGATTATTTATATTAATTATGAACAAATACTTTGGATGTAAATTTGCCTTTTTTTTTTTGTGATGAGAAAAATAATGAAAGGATCTAAGAAAATGAATAATGCTGCTTGGCCGGGGCGATTGACGGAGGATTGGGTGATATGGTGCTGTGGCAACAATTGATTGGATTTTGTGTGTTTTTTTTAAAGTTAAAAAAAGAAAAGAAAAAGACAATTATGTGTTGACACGTGTCTCCATATTTTTAATTCTATTATTGAGTCTGTCGCTATAGCAAGGCTGTGAGAAAATTGTTAATATCAATTTTCACAACTTTTTTTATAAGTTTAATTGTGTCTATCTAACTTAAAATGTTTGCGTCCGTCATTGACATCACCTCCTCCGAGTTGTCATGTAGAAGCTAACCCTCCATGGCCTAGGCAAGGTACTATAACTTGTTGCAAAAGTGATCCAAGGAAATTAGCCTCTTTATTAATGGAACATATTTCATATTTTACCCGTTTTAAGAGATCTTTCGTACGAGATATTTTTATGATTGATTATTGTGACATTTTTGCAATAGTCGCCTAAACGGTCAACTTATCAATATACTTTTCAAAGGTCAAATCTAGGCTCTATAGTAGCTACTTTTCAAAAATATTAAATGTCAATAATTCTAAGATTGATGGAGTGACACATAGCAGGAGACACCTTGACCGTGACCATGAGGATGATGTCATGTGTCTTTCCATTCAACGATGATAATTTTTCATTTTCAACTACAAAAGCTCACACTTTGGGTGTGCTTGATTATATTTATTTTCCATGGAAAATATCAGTTTTTTACCCAAATTTCTAATTGAGGTGTTTGATTGCTAATTTTTTTCATGGAAAATATTTTCCAACTTTTGAAAATATGTCTAATTTTCCTTATTTTTAAGGAAAACATTTTCCTTAGGTGGAGGTGATTTTTATTTTCCACAAAAGAACGAAAACATTTTCTTTTCTAGATTATATTTCCATGTCAATCAAGCAAACACTTAATGTCATTTGAAGGTAATATAATTTTATACGCTCAACTATAATATTGTTCTCTCGTTTTCACTTTCTATAAATCCCTAGTTTCCAAGCACTTTTGTGACACATCTTCAACACGTCCCATACCCAAATACGCAATAAAAGTTGACCAACTTGACTGTCGGAGTGCGCGGAGTTGCCTCCTCCATAATAAGAGAATGTCAGATGTTGATAATGATTTATACAAGCGTGCAGAAGTTTAGCTATGTGGGCGTGAGTGAAATTGGGATTTGCTGGCCACGTCATTCGTGTATGAATTGAGGTTGTTTCGCGCGGGTTAAGTCGCTAACAATTAAAAAGGATCACACGATTGTGTAAGGGACAAAACGTTTGAGACAAAGTCCCAAAAAGGGGTTCTTTTATTGGCGATGAACTTTACAATTGGAAATGAAAAACAACGTGCCTTCAAGGGGTGCAAGCACACGAGTTACAGAAAGAAAAGTGTTTAAGTCTAAAAGTTAAGGAAATGAAAATTACATATTCTCTGTTCGAGAGTTTTGGATTCGGGTCCTTTGCTTCTACGTCCTTTCTCCCTTTTATACCTCATATACGATCTCTTTGTGATTAACTACTCTAAAAACTGCTTGATCGTCCTATAACTACTAACTTTCTTCGTAGTGGCCATTTTGTCATGAAACTGCCTTTTAACTGCTGCCATTACCTTTCATCGTTCAACCGCTTTCGATTGAATTCCTTGAGTCGTGTAACGTGATAGGGCTATTTTAACAACTACCTTGATAACTGCATTTCTTGATAACCACGATGCGTTATGTCTGTTGATACCTTGGGCGACTTGAAGGTTTGGGCGAGAATAGAATAACAGCTCTGGGTGACCGTATGACACTTTATTCGTTCAAATTCTGGGCGACTTGCAAACTTGGGCGATGACGTTACCGCATTCTTGGGTCCCTTATTTGGGCCTTCATCTTGATTCGTTCGATTGGACTTCGTTCTTTGAACTATCTGATTTGGGGATCCTCCAATTGGGCTTTACTCCTTGGATTGTTCGATTTGGGCTGAATTTTTATGTGTCAACAATTACCCCTCAATATGGCAGAATTAATAATAATTATTGAATTTTGTCATATTCACTTCATGTTTCCAGCAACGTTCGAAATTTCCAAGAATTCCAATCATTGTTTCCTTCTATAATTTGAAAAGGTGCGTCGTTTTGCAAACCCTTATAAACCCCAAACACGCTATTTCACTACTACCAAATCACGCCTCATATTTTGCATCTCTTTCACGATTCACTGTTCATCTTTTGCTTTCTTGTTACGTAACCCTGAAAAGCTTCATTCCTTCTCCAATGGTTGCTTCACAATCTCAAGCTAGCGACTCCTTTAGTTTTGATGACTTTCAGAAACTTCTGAGTCGCCCATATATAACCCCAAGTTTTCTCGCGCCCGCCGACGTTGGACGTAATGAGTTTTACTTGGGTCCTTTCTTCAACAATGCGGAGGCAGTTGAACAGGCGGCGGTGGGTCAACAGTTTCCTTGCACTCATGGCCCTCCTTTTCTAAACTCTCTGCCGTTGGGGCCACTTCGCGAAAGAGGTATTCGCACTTGGCCTAAATCTGATGTAGCTTTTCGTAGGTGGCATACTCGCCTTGTGGGCCATGGTCCTACTAAGGCACTTTTCGATAGCGCTAGGATTTCTGATTTGTTAGAAGTCTCTATTCGCCCCCCTACTTTTGATTCAGCGCTCTTTTCGATTGCTTTGAGTTTTTGGTCCCCTGAGTATAGCACCTTTATTTTTCCTCTTGGCCCCATGTCTATTACGTTAAGGGATGTTGGGGCCCTGGTGAATTTACCACCTTTGGGCGATACCATTTTCCCAGGTATCTTAGTTTCTGGTGGCGCCCCACAGTTTGGTAAAAACTATGCCAACTCTTATTCAAGCCTGCAGACCCTCCACAATCATTCGAGTGCTGAGCCTACCCATACTAAGCGAGTGGCCTTCCTTTTAGTTTGACTTTGTAAATATGTGTTGTGCGTGCCAAGTATAAAGCCTTCTCTGAGTTATTTACCCATAGCGCACGAATTGGCACGTGGCAGGCTTTTGAATTTATGTTCTTTGTTTTTGGCTGCCTTTTATAGAGGCATGACTTTTCTTCAAACTCAACTGAAGAATGGTGCATCTCCCACTGGCAGTGGACCTCTTTAGTTCACTCAACTGTGGTTGAGATCCTATTTTCCATCGCTTGGTGCTCCATCCATTTCTCGTCCTTCTGCTAGCTGTTATGGGCTAGCTATGGAGCCCTTAACTCCTGTAAATATGTCCAGAAGGGACATTTTTTCATTCTTTTATTCTTTAGATTCAATCTCTTCCTTTTTTCATTTTCCTCCTTTTTTTACTCCAAACTATGTACATCCCCCTTCCACCGTAGATAGCGCGAGCACCTCCCTGCTCATTTGGATTCAGTTTTTAACTGGGAGGGAGCTATTTCATAATATTCTAACTGGGACTAATGCCAAAGCAGGGGTAGAAATTTATGCTCCCCAATTTTTTGCTCGCCAGCTTGGTTTTGGCCAAACTTGGCCTGTTCCTCTTTGCTATTCGAAGAACTTAATTGGCCATTTTCATACCATTAATAAGGTGGAAGCAGAGGCTATAAACGCTCGCAACCTCCATTTATCAAGCCACTTTTCGTTAGCCCCTTTTAATTCTTGTCATGCCACTCACCCTCTTTTTGAACAACTCTGACCATCGGTGAAGCGCAGATTATTTACGACTAAGGCCAATCGTGCCTTTCATTCATTAGACCAACCAAGCATTTCTTCTCCTCCTCCTGTTTTGGTCACTCCTTTATCTGTTCGGAGCCCCTCTCCTTCTCGTCGCGCTAAACAGTCTGCTCGTCCATCTTCTTCTCTCCCTGCTAAGCATACTACGGCCAAGAGTGCTCCAAGCCGCAAACGGCCAGCCTCAGCATCTCCCATTCTGGAGGATGATGTTGATGATGATGATGCCCCTCTTATCGTCAGGAGGAAGGTAATTAAATTGGTCTGTTTACAAATATGCTTTTCCACATTTGAAACTTTTCTGTGTACTGATGATCTTTTGGACTTTTCAGAAAAGTTCAGCCTCTCCTTCAAAGGCTTTGGCATCGACAACTCTTGCTCCATCATCCTCTGCTGATGCTACTTCATCCAAACCGGTTGATGAGGGGACCATGCTTAAAGATACATCTTCAGTCCCAGAGTCTTCATCACAATCCATGGATGAGCCACCTTCCTCCCAGGGCGTCGACCCCCCAAACATCGAAGCAGAAGGTAATTCAGTTTTTTGATGTCTTACCTTTGCTCGTGCTATTGGTTTCTGATTTGTTGCTCTTGAGCTTTGCAGATACTCCTATGAGTCCGCCCGTTGTGGCGACATCTTCTCGCTCGGACAAAGGGAAGTCCTCACGAATGGATAAGTCGTTGGTGGCAAGCTTGGCTGAGGGCGCGCCATCTTCTACGATTGTCGACGAGGTAGTTTTTCTTTTTGCTTTATTTCTATTTCCACCTTGTTCGTTGTAGTGAGGATTTTCAATATTGGCAGTCTTCTTTGCAGGACTCTGACAGGATTGTGCGTTCTATCCAAGACTTGTTCGCTTCCTGGGGGCAAATTCAGACGTTTCGCCCTGCTCCATCCGATCGTCCTGCTACTTCTTCAGAGGAAGACTTGAAGTTCCTGAAAGAACTGATATTTGAGTACGTATCCTTCATGGATATGGATATTGGAAGGGCTAGTGCTGCCAGGCACAAGGATGAACTTGAGCACTTGAGTGCGAAGTTGGAGCAAGCATTGACGCTTCCGTCGCTCAATCTTTCTGTCGATTTTAAACCGACGTTGAAAGTTATCTACTCCGAGGTCCTTTCTATGCTGGCCAAAAATACTGAACTAAAGGCCAAGCGTACTCAATATCTTCGAGCCGTAGCTGAGAAAGAGTCTTTGCGTATGGAGATTAACAAGGCTGAGGACGAGTTGAAAGAAATCTCCTCCGAAGTCATGATTGAAGACTCTTTGATGGTTAACTTGGCTGCTCAGATGAGGGAACTTCAAGCTAAAATGGACGACTGCAGGGCGAGGATGGCTGCTAAAAAGCGCAACGCCTCCGAGGGAATTGAGGGAACTAAGTCCTTGGTCGAGCAGTACAAAAAGGTGGAGGTTGATGATGATGACTTCGCGGCTGAATTGAACATCACTTCTTCTCGACAGAACGAGGATTGGGAAAAACTTAGGGAACGAATTCGTTCTTTATGGGGTAGACTGTAATTAAGACATACGATGTCTCTTTTCTTTTGTAATTCAATTTTTCCCTTTGTAACTTTGTTCATTATTAATGAACATTAATTTCTTGTGCATTTATTTGTTTATTTTTTAGTCATCAATTTTTTAAGCACTTAACTGCTTTGCACTAAGAATCTTGTCCATTCCCTCTTGATATTCCCACTACTGTTCCCAAAACTTAGGGCTATTTAATTCCGTTTATTAGACATAAATGTGGCTGTTCATATTCTGTCTCTTCATCTTCACCCCCCTATAAATGCTTCGCATTTTTCATCCTCTATCTTCATCTCTTCATTTTCTTCTTCGAAATCAATTTGCTGTCATTCTTTGGCATTCTGACAATCAACCTGATTCAAAAATGGATTGTTTAGTCCGTCCGCCTTATATTTACCTTGATGTCACCTTTGGTATGGGAGGTATAGGAAATATTTTCTGGCCAGCAGCGAAGTTCTTTCCTGCAAAATTCTTCCCATCATCTCTTTGTTCTTCACAAGGAGTCAATGATGGTAGGCAATTTTTGGGCTGCTTGTGGGCCACTTTGCTTGCTGAGAGTGCTTCTCAGCTTGTCTGCTGAGAGTGTTTCTCAGCCTCTTTGCTCGCCATTGCAGCAATGCATTTAGGAAGGTGGTGAGGCCAGTACACCCTCTCACTTGGCAATCCCACCATTGCAGCGATGCAATTAGGAAGGCGGTGGGGCCAGTACACCCTCTTACTCGTCAATCCCACCATTGCAGCGATGCATTTAGGAAGGTGGTGTGAAGCTTACTCAGCGATCAATCGGGAGATCATCTTATTTTAGTTGTATTTTGTAGCACGTCCATCATTTGTATCTTTTGTATTCTTGTAATGAACGTTTGATAATAAAGAACTTTATTCGAACGTATTTCGCTCTGTCTTTATTATCTTTTGATCGTCCAGAATGTTTGGTTATGTTTTTATCTGGTCACATTCCCATAAAGAAGGAACATATTTTTTCAAATATTTGCCGTTAATGAATCTTACATGCTTGGTGCCGTCTAGATCTTCCAAGTGGTACGCTCCATTAGGCAATACACTGTTTATTTTGTATGGTCCTTCCCAATTGTGCGACCACTTCCCGTACTTTGGATCCTTGGTATCCAAAGGGAGAATCGTCTTCCAAACTAGTTCATCCAAGTTGAACGACTTGGCTATGACTTTTTTATTATAAAATTTAGCCATTCTTTGCTTTTGAACTTGCAACCTATCTAAGACGTCCAACTTCAATTCGTCTAAACTCAATAAATTTTGAACTAGTGATTCAGCATACTCATTATCATTCAACTTATGTTGCAAGCACACTCGAATCGATTGCACGTTGATTTCCATAGGCAAAATAGCCTCCTGTCCGTAAACAAGTTGAAAAGGAGTAACTTTGGTGTTTGACCGAGGTGATGTTCTATAAGCCCATAAGGCCTTGTTCAAATATTCGTGCCAATTTCTGGCGTTTTCATCTATCATCTTTCTGATGATATTTTTCAGAATCTTATTAGAAGATTCCGCTTGTCCGTTGGATTGAGCGTAGTACGGTGTGGAGTTTACTAATTTAATCCCAAACTCGCTCAAAAATTTGTTCACTTGATCCTCATTCAAAGATGTTCCGTGATCTACCATTAAAGTTTGTGAAATTCCAAACCTATAAATAATGTGATCACGAATAAATTCTATAACATTCTTCCGAGTGATCTCTTTCAAAGGTACCGCCTCTACCCATTTGGTGAAATAGTCGATTACAACTATAAGAAAAGTATGTTGCTTGGACGATGGAGGGTAGATCTTCCCTATCAGATCTATCGCCCAACCTTTGAACGGCCAAGGTTTAATAATAGGTGCCATCTCTCGTGCTGGTGCCCTTTGTATTGGACCGTGTTTTTGGCATGCTAAACAACTTTTTGCATACTGAACGCATAATTCTCCCATCTTTGGTCAAAAATATCCACTCCTAATAATCAACCATCTCATCCTATGGTCAGCTTGATGAGCTCCACATATCCCTTCGTGCACTTCAGCCATGATCGTCTTGGCTTCTTGTAAACTTACACACTTTAGTAATACACCATCAGAGCGTTTCTTAAACAGCTCTTCATCTATTAGTGTGTAATTCAGCAAATATAGTTTTGTCTTCCTGCTAATCCCTCCATTAGGTTCTTTAAGGAACCCTTTAATCTCTGTTCTCCAATCCACTGCATCTCCATCTTGTATACAGTGAAGTTCAATTTTTCTCACCCTTCTTTGAATCACGGGCAATATGATTCCATATTCACAAGTAGACTTCCAATTCAAAACCTTTGAGTACCCTGATGCCATTTGGGCTAACTTATTTGCCATGTCGTTATATATCCTATTAACGCATTGGAGTTCTACTTGATCGAATTCCTCTAGTAATTCTTGGGCGATCTCGTACTGACTTATAATGGAATCACTTTGGCATTTAAAATCACCGATCAATTGATGGATCATCAATTGAGAATCGCCCCTAACGATCACATTTCTTATTCCCATATCTACCATTAGTTCTAGGCCTACAATTAAAGCTTCATATTCGGCCTGATTGTTGGTGCACATTCTGTCTAAGGTGAATGCAAACTTGTAGCAAATCCCTAAAGGATTAATCAATGCTACCCCTACTCCTACACCTTTAGAGGTTTTTGACCTATCGAAATACAACACCCAAAGTTTTAATTCGAACGAATTGATTTCTAATTCGATTTCTTTAGGCACGTCAAGGTATGGATGATCGGCTAGAAAGTTAGTCAAAGCCTGATTTTTGACTGCCTTTTGAGGTATATATTGTATTTCGAACTCTGATAAAGCTAATGTCCAAAGGCCTACCCTTTGGTGTAAAATAGGGCGCGAGAACATATACTTGACTAAATTTACTTTAGAAATTAAATAAATGGTTACGGGCCGTAAATAAGCCCTTAATTTTGTACATGTGAAATACAGTGCTAGACACAATTTTTCAATAGCAGAGTAATTACATTCACATTTCGTTAATCGTCTACTTAAGTAATAAATTGTCCTTTCTTCACCAAATTGGTCTTCCTGTGCGACCATTCCAGCTATTGATTCTTTTTCAGCCGATACATACACTTTCATTGGCTGTCCCTAGATTGGTGACACCAACACTGGTGGACTTGATAGATATGTTTTCAGGCTTTCAAAAGCCTTTTGATGTTCTTCTTTCTAGACGAATTCGTCCTGATTTTTCAGCTTTAATAGCGGCGAAAAGACTTTAGTTCGCCCTGCACAGTTAGAAATAAAGCATCTTAAAAAATTTACTTGGCCTAGAAACCTTTGCAACTCCTTTTTATTGCTAGGTGGTTTAGCTTCTAAGATGACCTTCGCTTTATTTTTATCAAGTTCACTCCCTCTCTTGTGTACTAAGAAACCAAAAAAGTTCCCTGCATTAACACGAAATGCACATTTCAAGGGATTCAACTTTAACTTATATTGCCTCATTCGTTCAAACGAATATTTTAACTGTTCGAAATGGTCTTTTTCTTTAATAGACTTGACTACTATGTCGTCTATATACACCTCAACAAACTTGCCTATCATGTCGTGAAAGATTAAATTCATTGCCCTTTGATAAGTTGCCCCTGCATTTTTTAGGCCGAAAGGCATAACCACCCATTCAAAACATCCTAGAGACCCAGGGCATCTAAAGGCAGTTTTGTGTATGTCTTCTTCAGCTATATAGATTTGATTGTATCCTGAATACCCATCCATGAAAGAATACATGACATGTCCGGCAGTTGAATCTACTAAAGAATCCACCGTGAGCATTGGATACTCATCTTTGGGTGTAGCTATGTTTAAATTTCTAAAGTCTATACACACCCTTAGTTTATCATTCTTTTTTAGTATTGGCACAATATTCGACAACCATTCAACATATCTGGCTGTTCTTATAAAACCTGCTTTCAATAATCGCTCTATCTCTTTCTTAATTTCAGGGAGTACATTAGGAGCAAAACGCCTAGCAGGTTGCCTATGAGGTTTAAAATTAGGTTTAGTTGGTAATCTATGTTCCACTAAGTCTCTATCTAAACTAGGTATTTGTTCATATTCCCAAGCAAAACAATCTTTGTACTCTTTTAACAAAGCGATTAATTTGTTACTAACCTCTTGATCGAGCATCTGGCTAATGAACGTTGGGTGATCTTCTCCTTCATCGCCAATATTTACTTTGATTAGAGGGTCTTGCGCTTGAGCGTATCCAGGTTTGGCAATCCGCATCACTTCGTCGTCCAGTTCTTTTGTAAGTACTTCTTCTTCCAAACAGTCCACCTTGTTGACTTCTCGACCAAGGCTTTGCTCTAACTCGAATACTGCCAACTTGTCCTTCAGCGCTTTTAGGGCAGTCTCTTCCTTCGCTTTGTCATTGCATTCCTTATTGAAAG